AATGATGATGATGATGAAATGATGATGACGACAAAATTAATTAAATGAGATAACATAGCATAAAAAGCAAGGAAAAAAAAAAACTTATTTACTTGGCCCATTCCACTCGTAAAATCAAGTTATCGTAACCGTAACCATTAATGGCTTGTAATGCTTTGGAGGCATCCTCGCGATGTCCAAAGCTGACAAATGCAAATCCTTTACAAGCATTCGTTTCTCGATCACGGGCGAGATAAACTCGAGAAATATTACCGAAACGGCGGAAGAGATCATGAATGTCATTCTCAGTAGTGTCTTCCGATAAGTTTGTGACACGAATAGTAGCATCGTCTGGAATTAAAAAAAAAAAATTAAAATAAATTAAAATAAAATTCACAAAAAATTGAGAAAAAATTACCTCGTCGTTCTTTATATGAGTCACCAGTTGCCGGCTTAGCTCCAGCACGCATACTGGGAGGAATATATTTTCCTCCTGTGGAAGCTTCGGCCGTTATTGGCTCACTAGCTGGAGCTAATAAAAATAAAAAAAATAAATTAAAAAAGATTTGGACCAGAACTTGATCAAATTTTCCAAATCAAATCAAAGCTTACCAGTTTCCTTATTGGCCTCTAGTTCTTTGCCCAGTTCATCCAAAGGTTGAAGGGTATCTTTATAAGGACATTGAATTGTAAAATGGTCACTTTTACATATACGGCAAAGGATTTTCTTCCCTACTAAAGCTGCCTTTCTCTTATTTATATCGCTTTCTTCGGCTAATTCCGAATGCTAAATGAATATAAATTTAAATAAGCTGTTGAAAAATCAAAAATAACAACAATAAAAAAATCTTACGATACATACTTTGCCGGTGGACGATAATTTTAAGAATATTTGTTCTCCAATGCTGGTTGTACTCAGATCGGGACCAACTTTCTTTCCTCGCTCGTCACCAAATTTGGCCCATTTCTAAAAATACAATTTAAAAAAGTACGTCAAGAACAAATGAAGCTGAAGACTTATTAAGGGTTATGTTAAATTTACCTTTCTCTCGGCAACGGCTTTATTAACACATTCTTTAATCAAGGTTTTCTTGATCTTTCTAGTAACCTTTTAAATAAAATAACTTAGAAAAAAATCACGATTTGTTAAGGATAACAAATAACGTTTCAACATACTTTCACTTTTTTTCCGTCATCGTTTGTTTTGTATTCAAGTATCGTTTTGATACCATTTTCGTCGGTAAAAGTTTCAATTGGAAGATCTAATACAATACAACGCGGTTAATTTCGATTAGATCAAAGAACCTAATTTTTAAAGAATTCAGGACTTTACCAAATTCTTCGCCGACTTCATCGGCCCAGCTTGATTTTGTCGCGTTCCTATTTTTTTGTTATAACGAAAGAAGATTGGTTATTATTTGGTATTTAAAACGAAATAACAATGTTTCACGATTTCTTACATTTTCTGAATAGATTTTTTTTTTTTTTTTTTTAAAGAAATAAATCAATTTATATCACGTGTGATCAAAGGAACCATTCAAATACGTTTGTGGCTCAGGTTATGGACAATTCGAATATCACAATCAATAAATGAGATCGAAAATTCATCATCTACTGACTCAATCTTCTAATTAACTGCCTATTGCCAACTATACGTCCCGATTCGAGTAACTTACTTTGTATTGAGCTTCGGTGTGTGATCAAATGTCTGATAAACGTAGACAAGTCGCCACTTTGAAAGCCAAGCAAGTTACTGCACAAAAAAAGAGACGACGACGTACTGACCCTGGCGTGAAACCTTCAACTAATATGCCAAGTACACCAAATAGACCTGGCATTACCTCACCAATGTCCCCTGTTCTATCTCCAACTACCTCTCACGGTTCGAATAAAGTGTACTTACATACATACATATATATATATTTTTAATGTTGATAACGATTAACGTGAACACGAAAAATTCAAGGTTCACATTAGCATTCGAATAATTAACATAATTTTTTTTAAAACTTTTATATAGTTATCCTCAATCGTTTGCTTCACAACAGCGTCAAACAATTAATGAAGACTATTCAACCTCTTCCGTTAGTTCAGTAGGTGAAGAGGAATCCGAAAAAATAATGACCGAAGATGAGGAAGACTTTGAGGATTATTGTAAAGGAGGTTATCATCCCGTTAAAGTTGGTGATATATTCAATGATGGAAGTTATACGGTTGTCCGAAAGTTAGGTTGGGGTCACTTTTCCACAGTTTGGCTTGCAAAAGACAATCAGTAAGTTTATTAACTATTTACTTTGTATTTAAATTAATATTTATTTTGAATATTTTTTTTTATATATATATGCATATATATATATATATATATTTTTTTTTTTTTTTTTTTTTTGAATACTGTTAACGATATCTTTTAAAGTCACAATCGACATGTCGCACTTAAAGTTGTTAAGTCTGCCCCACATTATACTGAAACAGCTTTAGATGAAATAAAATTATTGCAAAAGATCGTTGACGCAAATCCAGATGCTCCTGGTCGTCGTCATGTAGTTGAACTTTTAGACCATTTTCAGCATAGGGGACCCCATGGAACGCATGTGTGTATGGTATTTGAAGTATTGGGCGAAAACTTGTTGAGTTTGATAAAAAGATACAGTCATCGAGGGATTCCATCACATTTGGTCAAACAAATTACAAAGCAAGTTCTTATGGGTCTAGATTATATGCATAGGGAATGTGGAATTATCCATACTGATTTAAAACCGGAGAATGTGCTGGTATGCATCGATGATGTAGAGGAGGTTGTCCGAAATGAACTTTTATGTCGCGGGAAACCACCGGCTACAACTACTACTAAAAAGGGACAACAATTACGTATTACGGGAAGTCAACCTCTTTCATCACCATCATCAAAGTCACCATCTGTACAAAATTCATTAATAGCATTGCAACAACCTCCACCTCCAACACAAGGTATGTCTAAAAATCAGAAAAAAAAATTAAAGCAAAGATTGAAGAAACAAGCCGCGAAAGGAAATGGGACAAATGGAATTGGAATGGATATAGATTGTGAGGTCGTAAAAAAGGATATAGAGAATGGAGAAGATATTGAAATGGTCGAAAACGTTTGTAGTCCAGATGATGTAACAACGTAAGTTGAGATGACTTACAAATGAAAGTGATTATTTTGTTAAAATAAGGTTATTTATCTTCTAATTATTTTATTAGGGAAACATTGGAACGCGACCTTAATGACATTTCTCTTGTCGATTCATCTACTCCGAATTATCATTCATCATCATCCATAGTAACTACTTCCAACGTCCAAACGAATCTAACACGAAAGTCATCTACTTCAACGAAATGGACTACCCCGGATACGATTACTGTCAAAATTGCTGATCTAGGCAATGCATGTTGGGTGGATCATCATTTCACAAATGATATTCAGACAAGACAATACAGAAGTCCGGAAGTCATTCTCGGTAGTCGATGGGGAAGTAGTGCAGACATTTGGAGTATGGCATGTATGGTATGTTCAATCCTATTGACATATAAAGCTGTTACTTTTATTTTTAATAAAAAAAAATTGATTATTTTTTCATTGATAATATTAGATTTTTGAACTTTACACGGGTGATTATTTGTTCGATCCACAGGCAGGATCACGGTACAATAAGGACGATGGTAAATGTTCAATCTATTATTTATCCTTATTATTCACAATTAAGTTTATTTACATCTTATTATATTTATTTTAGACCACATAGCTCAAATTATGGAGCTTTTGGGTATTTTTCCAAAAAATTTGGCCTTAAGCGGAAAGTATTCAAACGAGATCTTCAATCGTAAAGGTACGGTCATTCTCTCATATTCTTTTATTATTAATAATATGTAACCCACCATTTTACTTTTCAAAGGGGAATTAAGACATATTCATAAACTTCGACCTTGGAAACTTGCTGATGTTTTGCATGACAAATATGGGCTTTCACGAACTGATGCAGATTTTATGAGCTCATTTCTATTACCAATGTTAGATTTAAATCCGGACAAGAGGGCTTCGGCAAGACAATCATTGAATCATCAATGGCTACAGATTGAAAGTTATTTATCTGAAGGAACAACTTCGGGTTCAGGGACCTCGACAAAATTGACAAGATCCAGGTCATCTGATAATGGAATCGGTATAAATAAAAATGAAATTAGTAGAGATAAAGAAAAAGGCAAAGGAAATAGAAAATCTGAAAAGGATGAGGGTGTCGAACGTCGACATAGTGGTTATTATAAAACAAAGTTTGACGATGTTAAAATAGATCCTAGTTGGAAATATTAATTGTATTAGATCAATATCGAGAGTAATTTTTACATCTATTGAACAGATTCATGTTTATTATAGAGAAATTCTTTACAAAAATCATGTATATTCTCCACTATCTTTTTTTTTTAAAAAAAAAAAAAAAATTGATCCAGAAGAAGAACAGGTTGTATTTTAATAAGGGCGTGATTGCGTTTGATAAAACAAATATTTTATTATTATTATTATTTTTATTATTTTTATCATGAATGTACAATATAATGTCATTTAAAGTTTTTTGGTCAATGGCAGATAGAATGATAACAAAAGATTCGATTTAGGATATTATTGTATTATATAGAAGAAAATGTATTTGGTCACGTCTTTTTATTTTATTTTTTTTTTTGCAAGGATATTTTTAACGGGCGTTGTTGAATTTATTTATTTATTTATTTATTAATCGCCTTCAAACCTTTTTTTCACTACATTAGGGAAAAAAAAAAAACAAAAATAATAGTATAATTTTTATAATTTTTGGATTATGAGGGTACAACATAATATACAAAATTCATTATTAATATATCAAAAAAATTTTTTGAACATTAAACATTCTAACATTTATGACTTTTAAAGTGGGTTAACTTAAAATTTCTTCGATTACATGGGGTGCTGGAAAAAGAAAAAGAAAAATTTTTTTCAAATTCTCAAGAAAGATTCGTATACCTAACTACAATCAATACAAAATGATCAGAAGGTTCGAAACCTTTTCAAATAGGGAATTCTCCTGTGACATCACGCGAATTTTGTTGTCAACACGTCATTGACGCATCACTCGTCGATCGAACAGATGGTTGACGTTAATGGATAAGTTAGTGTTTAGTCAGCTATAAATTACCCCTATCATTTAACGTCATCATTATCGGTTCGTTGTCTGCTTATTTACCTTTTGATTTACTCTGATTTTTCTCCATTCAAATACCTTTCACATATTATATTTTTATTTTTTAATTACGTAAAAAATCAAGTTTATAAGCTAAAATTTTTATATTTGAAATTGACTTTTAGCAATATTAATCATAATAAAATTTATTTACAATTTTTATTATAATTTATTAGTAGTAAAGCGATTCAATTAGTTTGTAAACACATGAATTTTAAAGAAATTTTTAATAAAATTGATTAAATATATATTAATTAAAATTTATACTTTTTTTTTAAGTTTGTAGGCAAATTTGCCTATTAAATAATCTAAGTGATACTTTGTAAAGTAATATTATAAATTGTACATTATCCAAAAGCAGAAATAATAAAATTTTTATTTCTTTCATATTTAATCCAAATTTTTATTAAAATAGTCTCTGATATAATAAATTACATATATATATAGTATACTAGGGAAACGAAAACCATTATTAAATCTGAAACAATCTGAACTAAAAAAATTCATACTGATATTTGCTTTATCTAGGATTTTGTGCAATTAAAAAGCCAATCAGCATCAACTTAATTATTGAATAAAGCATTTTAAGAGAATTTATTTCATCTGAAAATTGTAATAAAAATAGCATTTACTTTAAAGTTAGATTTTAAAAATCAATTAAGTAAATTAAAATTAGAAATACTTTTCTTAAAATAATATTTAATACAAAATATAAATTATTGAAAAAAAGTTTATTTTATAAAAATAATAATATAAACGCTTTGTAGTAAAAAAAAAAAAACTATCAAAAAAATTTTTTTAAATTATTATTAAATTTGAATTTATTTTATTAAAATAAATAATTTTTAGCTTATAAAATAAAAAATTTTTTAGTAGTTTTCTCTCTTTTTATTACAAAGCTTCTATAGTTTATATTTAATATAGCGAAATAGTTATTTTGCATCTCAATTTTGTTATAGTAAATTAGAAAAGAATTAAAGGATTTGATTGGTTACTCATTATAGAAAGAAAAAATTGACATATTTAATTGGTCAAGCATCATATGATTCGTTATATCAAAATTCACTATATTAAGGGTAGATAGTATAATATAATATTTCAAGTTTTGAAAAAATTATTTTTTTATAAATATATGTTAATAAAAATATTAAAAAATAAATAATAAGAAGATTTATATTTATTTTGAATTATTAATATTAAAAAAAATTAATAATAAATAATAATAAGACAGAAATTGTTATAATTATATATATTTTACATATAATTATAAAATATAAGAAAACTTTTAATTAGATAATTATTAAATTGGTAATTTTTATTTGTATACAGGTATATTATACATAGATTATGTGATATAACATTATTTTACTTTTATTAAAAAATTAAAAAATTATTCATATGATAATTATATGATAAATAATATATGACAAATACAGTCAACTCTTGTTATAACGAACTCTATGTCTTAGATCTCAACTTCACTATAAGGCTATAGTGAAGATTTT